TATATATACATCTACATCAATTAGGACAAGATGTTATTAAGTTTGGTAGTGTTACACATGCAAGTGAAGATCCTGGCAACATTTTCAGTGTGGGAAAAAGAAAAAAAAAACATTTCCTGATCAAAAATGTACGGAGCCCAGGAGGGGACATGGGATATATTTTTATCATTTGCATTCCTACGCAATATTATTGCATTTCCTCACAAAAGTCGCTGTTGTGCCTACCAGTTTGTTAACAAATTCAATGTTCACCATTAGCGAGTTAGCCTACTACTTTAATTCAGCTTCAGAATGAATATATTACACAGCCAGGCATGGAAGTATATCATATGATGATATTTTAACACAGTACAGCCATGCAACATCAATGTCAATTTCACTAACTTGTGGCGACACATCCTGTTTTGGTAACCGGATATTTCAAAAGAAGTCAGATTTAATTCAATTCATGTACAAAACAAACTTTTGCGTGGGAACGCAAAACAATTTTGCGAGGGGATGCAAACATTTGCGAGGTAATGCAAAAAGGTTTTGTGAGGTAATGCAAAGTATTGCGAGGTAACGCAAAAATACTGAAAGGTAACGCAAGAGTATTGCGTGAGAACGCAAGAGAAAAATATCCCCCCATGTCGCCTCATGGGCTCCATAAAAACTTGCATGAGAAAAGTTCATTTTTAAATGTGATAAATGATCCAATATTATCTTTTTGTAACCAATTTAACTGTAATTTTTAATCTTCCTATCTTTATTAACAAAAAATACAATCTAACTGGTTTTGTTATACTTTTAGTGTCACTATTTATTATTCTACATACTTAACCTCTGATACATGCATATCAAGTGCATCTTGAAATAGCCATGAAGAAATGCATTCACGTGGCCCTCTTGAAGTACCCGCCCCACGCTTTGACAACCTCCATCCATGTGTGTGCATGTGTGTGTGTGTGTGTGTGTGTGCGTGAAGTGTGTCTGCTGGCAGACCCTAAACTGTATCAGCTTCATCTCCCGGGCGAACGCCTCGGCGGATCGCATCACTCACCGTCGTCAGAACGCATCCATCTGTTATTAGCAGCTTGCAGCCTAATCCTGGAGCTGCGACTTGTCTGTAGACGGTGCAGCACTCCGACTCACGCACACACACGCGCGCACGCGCTGAGGAGGGAGAGACACCGGAGAGAGAAGGGAGCTTGTGGGCGGATCGCCTCCCGGGACAAACCGCCGAACAGTGTGAAAGTAACTGCGGGAGAAAAGGGGGACGGAGACTGTGGCGGATCAGGACACGTTTTGCTTGATTTTTTTTCTTCGTAGATAAGCAGAAGATAAGGACACCTTTCTCGTTTTAAAGCTTGCATCTCCAACCTGCCATCCACCGGGCATCCAGTCCGGGAGAGATGCGGAGAGAGGAGGAGGAGGAGAGGTCAAAACAAAGTCACTTCTGTTCCTAAAGACGGGGAAGAAGAAACCGGGATCAAGCTGTGATTTGATCTTTCTCTCTCTTTTTTTTATTCTCACATTGTTATAATATTGTTTTTTTTTTTATTTTTTTCTGATTGTGGACGATCTTGGGACGCATAAACCATCGCGGGATTATTTATATTCTTATTAGTCCTAATCTGGGAGAAGCCTAATATCAGATGCAAGGATCTATGTGTTCAGGAGTGAAATGTGGTGCTTCACGATGACGGGCAGCTGCTGAGCATCCACGGGAAAATACGACCACCTGAGCAAAAATAACTAAGTGTTTTATTTATTTATTCTACTAACTATAGTTCCGTTCCTCACACACTGGATCTGAGAGAGGATCAGCTCTGGGGCGGCTGAGTGTTTCCCCGATTAACGGAGTGTTCACAGAAATGAGCGCGCACAGAGGAGGAGGAGGAGGTGGTGGCGGCGACACGCCGGTTTAACGGCGTCTCTATTCCTGCGCCCCCCTCAACACACCCTCTAGAGGATCACCAGCTGACAATCAGTGGACTGCTGCAGGTTAGAAGGAAAAAGTGGGGGGCGCGCCTTTGTGGTGCAAACTCAACGGGAACTCAACTGAAACGCCTTGTTTCACCASCCCACCATCAGCATCCTAGAGGAGCCCGCGGCGCGACCATCCTGGCGCGGCACGAACCCAGAAGGGTGGAAGAGGGGATTTAAAATAAAGTGGATATGATTTTTTTTCTCTTTTTTTTTCTATTTTTGGCTTGAATAAATATATTTTAAAAAAGACCAGAATGAGGATTATTGAGCAGCCCCGTTGCTGAAACGAGATCACCTGTTTCAAGTGAGGAGATATTACCTAACAGGAGGAGAGAGAGGAGGGTAGAGAAGACGCGCAGGTACAGTTTCTGTCTTTTTTCTTCCTTCTCAGCATATGTCCAGTTTCACTCCATCACGGTTTCCTGCATCTTGCTCACGTTTTCTCTGTCTTTTTTAGTAATTTTAAAAGGAGTTAAGTGTAAGTAGACTGATTAAAAAAAAAGAAAAAAAGAAGGGATGGCAGATGGGGGAGATAATGGCGCTGGTGATTTATCTCCCGTACGATTCAAAGATGTTGCTGGATTAAAGGCGTGATGTGGGAGGGAGGGAGGGTCAGAGTGGAGGGATGAAGGAAGAGTAAAGGTCTGCAACTGCAGAGAAGATAAGACAGATGAGCCAGGCCAGGAAAGTGGCCGAAGAAGGGGAAAGAGGTGAACAGGATTAAGAGTTGTGCTGGGGGTGGGGTGGGGTGGGGTGGCAGATGGCTGGAAGCGAGGTTGAAGGGAAGCTGGAGAGGTCTAAAAGGGAGAGTTGTTATGAGAGGAGTACATGCAACACAGAAATGGGGGAGAAGAGAGGGAAAGGGGATGAGTTGGGCGATAGAGGAAAAGGGGGAGTGGATGGGGTGTAGCAGGAGAGGGCGATGTGCTGGAAAGGTAAGCAGTGGAAGTTAATGGAGTCAAACGGATTGGGAGTTGAACAGTTTTAGCAGGGGAGTGGTGGGGACGGAGTAGAAAGAGGAATGAAAACAGAGAAAAGGTGTTGCAGCTTGTGAAGGAACAATCCCTCAGGAGAGGTCTGAACAGTGTGATGCCGGGAGTGTGGAACAGCATCAGTCAGTGCTGTAGAGACCATCCAGCATTATCCCACATTCTGCTGTGTAATGGAAGTTGCTGCACCATGGAGACACAGAGATGCACACCGGGAAGAGGAGGAGAAGGAGGGGAACCACAGAAGGCATTTAGCCAATAGTTTAGTTTGCTGTGTCAGCTCATCAGCTGCTTCTTTACCTGGTGGATCTTCTCCTTGCTCCCTGCCCCATTTGCATTTTGATTGGGTGCACAATGGTTTTAAGCCACCTTAAACACACATAATTACATGTGCAAGAGTTAATGAGTTTCTAAGGAAGGTACCAGCTGGTTTTTGCGGTTTCTGTCCCAATTGGTTCATCAAAAACAATACTTTGGTATTTTAGTCTTGTTCATTTTTTTGTTATTTTCTGTGTGGATTATGGCATCTTGTTGGGAAATGACTTAAAATTCTATCWGGAAGATCATTTTTTAAAAAGTCTTTGAACATGAAGTGCCAGTTCATAAGCACTGAAGCGTTCGACTCCTTTACAACTCTCATCTAAAAAAAATCTACTATCAAAACATGCACCTTGAGCAAGAATGGTGTATTTTAGTGCATTGTACAGTATGTTAGCAAAAATCTGCTAAACAATGGTATCTTAAGAAAAAAAGGAGTGAGAAAACCCATCCCCTTTTGAAACTCTTAATTTGAGGCACATTTCAGAGTTGAAACAGTGATTGCAAACAGGACTTTATATGACATTGCTGTTATTTTTATATTTAGTACAGTTTTTACACATTTACCGTTTAAGTTTGAGTATTTTTTGGTGTTTTTGTCATGAAATGTTAGTGTGATGATATTGTCTACTGTAATATTTGAGTTGTCATTTTTCCAAACTATTGAAAACATACACTTAATTTTTCCACTAATTTCTACTTCTTAAACAGTTTATACATCAACATGTGCCTTTTTGTCTTTTTTCACTCAAGGTGTCCCAAATACAGGCTATTTATTTTTTAATTATTCCAGAGTGCAGAGTGTGCACATACAGTACAAACTCCTATTAACTTCCATTGTAGCTGAGCCTAGAATATGAAACCAGAAGCATGCAGTTTATTAAAACTGCCATGTCTCTTTTATAAAATTCCGCAAAAACAAAACAACAAAAACTAATAATAAAATAAAAAAATACATGATGACCAAAGGTTCTCCCTCTCTAGGTATTTTTCATGTGTTTTTGTCATGTGACACACTGTCAGGGTTGCAGGTTGAGGTTGGATTTCTAGTTTGTGTCGGCGTTCTGTATGATTGTTCTATGTCTGTTCCTCAGAAAACATGATTATCATGGCAACTTGTGGCTCAGCAAATACTAACTCAATGTGATATGACAAATCAATAAAAAAAACAACGCTGTGTGTATTGGGGAGAGTGATTTCAAAGTGACGATAGGTATGCTGATTACTAATGAAAGACAGGTGAATCTTTGACATCTAGGCTGAGATACTATAAAAACAATGTGACACAAAACACTCTGAGCCATAAATTTAACTCAAAACAATACAAATAATTAAACTTATTATGTCTAATAATATTATTTATAATCATAAACTAAATACAACTCCAAATTGTCCTTAGTCGTGAGTGCGAGTGTAAATGGGTGTTTGTCTCATTTGTCTCTATTCTCTGTGTGGCCCTTGTGATGGACTTAAGACCTGTCCAGGTTGCCCCCTGCCTCTTACACAGTTACTGCTGGATGTGGGCACCAGTAAACCCGGTTACGCTGAAAGGAAAATGTTGGATGGATGGATGGATGGATGGATGGATAAATTAACTAAAGCATCTTCTCTATGCTGTCTACAGTTGAAAAATTAGCTAACAACATTGTCTAATAATTGCCACTCTTAAAAGTTAACATTTTTACAATAACATTGATGTATCTTTATCATGACATTTTGCATACTGAACTCTTTGCCTCCCTCAGATTTCTTCTGATCAAACGGACCATTCAGTATGATTRAAAACATGTATCAACAAGAATAAAGTAGCTGCTTCAGTGCTGCATTGTGTTCTTTGTTTGACAGTGTGCTTATTAAAGAAATCATTCATGACTGCTAAAGAAAGTGAACATTTGGAATGGAAATGTGTAAAAAATGGCAGTCATGTAAATCTCATGCTCGGTCTGCGAATTGGCTGTGTCTGGACACTTTTAGCAACAACATGCACAAACAGGGTGGCTGAATCACATTCAACTCAGGTGAGATGTATAAGATGAGAAAAATAGGAGCCATCTCATTTTRATTGGATCCAAATCACTATCTTTTAAATGGAACAAATGGGGCATGGGCTTTAGTGGAGGATGTAATCTATATAGGTGTCCTTCAAGTTTTRTTGCATCCCTTAAATGTCTGCTGGGAGCCAACATGACCATCCTTCCTGCTACCTTGACTGAGGGGCATGCTAATGTGTAAGCACTACTRGCCTAAATATGGTTTCATATACGTATATAATTGAGCAATTTTTACACAGATGAGTAATAAGCCATCTTGTAATCCAGTTCCCTCTTGTAGCACTTTCAAATTGACATGTTCTAACTTCTGAAGATTAGCTTGGTTACAGTTTGAACAGTGATGTTCTTGGACACAGTTAATCCAGCCCTTTGCCTCTGTTTGAACTGAGGACACCAGCTTTTAATGTAGCTCATTATTGCACTTTTAATATCTCATTTGTATCAAAAGATAAACTGGATTGACTCATATATGGCCATTTATAATCTGAACTCATGTGAGGCAAAGTAGAAAAAAGGGGTTAGACCCATGTTTGACCTTGATTTTCCGAATAAAAACAGGCTGTGAAAGTGGTGCTCCATAATCCTCTTGGCTTATTGGGGGTTTAGGCTAAATATTTCAGAAAACATACTGAAGGAAAATATTGGGCCAGAAAGAGAAAATGAGAGAGGAAAACTGCTGTCAAACCATGTTCTAACATGTATTTTTTTATTGCAACAATTATACGCACACTGCTGTTCTATCATTTAAAGGGATATGTTACAGATTAGCTGAATGATTTCTTCTTTTTTGATGGATTGATAGAATTCAGAATATGGGAATTGCTCAAAAGTCCACTAACATGACTGGTTGAGCAAAAGCTGACAATATGAAGTGCTTGATCATGTTTACAATTTATTGATCCTTTTTGAGTCAAAACAGGATGGAAAGGGGTTTCATATGGAAGGAGTGGAGTCTATTTAGTGATTTATAAAACATAAATTTAGGACTGATCTCTTTTATGGGCAGTATGTTGTTGTAGTTGTTGGAGTTGTCACCTCTCAGTGAGAAGGTCATAAGATCACATCCCATCCTGTATTGATTTTTAACGTTTGTTTTACATTTGGCAATGTTTTTCTTTGACATCTAGAAAATTTCATTGTAAAAAAAGGAAATTGAGGCCTTTTATTTCTCCATTTTTCCCATCTCTAATTTCATTCTTTTGTACTGCAGCTCTTCCTAAACCAGATGGAAAGCACTTATAACAGTCATTATGTACGGAATTTACTACACATATAAACTTCTCCGCCTACATTATTTAGAGGTATAAAATAAATGGTCTCACTGGTTGACAGCAGTCATCAATGCTGAATGGCACAGTTCTGTTATGTTAGTGGGCGTCTAACTTTTCAAGGAGCATATAGCAAAACATTCCAGACATTGTTTGAACAAATTTTGAACAATAAAGCCACCTATCTTTAGCATTAACTATATCATTTTTTTTATTCTGTCAGTGTCAAAATGAAAAATGAAGCTGAGGAAAAGTTCAAATTCTGGAGAAGTGAAAGATTGGTTGATGTGGTTTGTGTGAGACAGCAGGTAAGGACAGAAATTGAGCCCACACAGAGAAACTTACTTTTTCTATTTCAAAGAAAAAAGTTTTATAGCTTTAGAAAAGTACTTTAAAGCTTAGATTCACAAGGCAGAATTTCCAAGTTCCTGAATTAGTTAAATGAGTCAGTAATGGCTGAGTCCCAGAAGTGGATGGAATTCCCCTGAGTTGGCCCAGATTGGGCTGTCTTGTTTAATACACATTGTTTAGATAAACCACAGTGACAGTGTTTCAACTGGGGTGGGGGGGGGGGKGTCTTATTTCTCAGTTACCCCAGTTGACAAGATGCACGACAAGAAAGTCTGACTGATAATCAAATGTGAAACTTGAACTTGGTGAGGGGGTGAGGGTATGTTAATCCTTGTCATGGTACACTTTTTAGGCTCATAGGGATAATAGAAGGTGTATTGGA